AGCTAATAAATGCAACAGAACTGTATCTGTACTGTCTCGTGGAGTTCTTTGGGCGGAACCTGACAGTGACGCAACTTCTTGCCAACTTCCCACAATCAAGTCAGTGGGGAACCCAGCAGGAAGTTGCAAGCCCCAGGCACTGCCAGGTGGGGGAGGGAGTGAGGGGGTGCGTAGGGGTGCATGGGAGGGTCAGTGAGGGGGTGTGTGGGTGCAGTGGGGGTTGGGTGTGGGAGGGCCTCAGAACCACTTGGATTTTCAGCCCGAGTGTGGCAGCCTTGGCAGCCTGCCAAGAGGACTCTCTCTCATCTCTGGGGGCTGGCTGAAAAAGCTCTGTGCCAAAATCCAAGCCTCTCCACTCTGGGGCTGAAAATCCTCCATAGCTGAAAATACCACTTGGATTTCAGCATGAAGCTCTTTCAGGCAGCCCCCAAAGCTCCATGTGCTAAATGCCCTGGTCACATCCTGGGTGAACTACTGTAATGCGCTCCACATGGGGCTGCCCTGGAAGAGTATCCGGAAGCTTCAGCTGGTGCAGAATGCGGTGGTGTGGGCAGTTATGTGTACCCCTAGAATGGCACATGTTACACCTCTGCTCCACAAGCTGCATTGGTTGCCAGTTTGCTTCTGGGTCCAATTCAAGGTGCTGGCTTTGACTTTTAAAGCCCTTCATGGCATGGGGCCGGGTAATTTGAGGGACTGCCTCCACCCTGCCCATCCCATCAGGTCCGGCAGAAAAGGAACGCTGCAGGTCCCGTCTGTGAAAGAGTTTCATCTGGCGGGACTCAGGAGATGGGCCAGGAGATGGGCTGTGGTGCTGGCTCTGTGAAATATCATCTCCCCTCACCGAGTTGAGCTTGGCCCCATTCTTGATACTCTTCTGGAAGTCCCTCAAAACATGGTTGTGTCAGCAGGCTTGGGGATCTCACGGAAATGGTGATCTAATGAGATGGCTGCACTGTTTTTAACACCAATTGTCTCTACTATCTTGTTATTGGTAACGTTGCTTGATGCCTTTTTAACTGTACTTGTTTTAATATTTTGATTTTATGATTTATTTTTTATTGTGCACTGCTTAGAGTCACATTTTTGTAAGAGGGGTAGCTAGTTAAATAAACAAACAACATTTGGTATTATGGTAGTATGCTTTCTTTCCTACAGTCAATGAAATTACATAATAATATCCTGGCTTTGATTTTTGAGATGTGACTTGAACATTGTGGCATCAGTTCAGTAACATAATATCAGGGAGTTAAACAGTGAGAGTGCTGTTGAGAGCAGAAATGGAATCAAGGCTCCTGCTGTTGTGCAATATTGTTGATTTATTTTTATTTTTTACTTTTATTTTCTTAACTGAGCTAGGGGAGAAATTCCACCAGATTGCACATTGTCCATTCCTATCATCTTAATGCTGCCCCCCTCCCCCAGTTCATTCAAAGATTTGCTCTTCTTCCTTTGAGTCTCTTGGAAGAGACACACTTACCAGCTGTGAGAACAATACACAGATGTGAAAATCAAGAGGTTGTACTTTTAAGTTTGAGTCATCTCTCCATATGAGATACCTTCACTCTTAAGAACATGAACACGTTAATTGGTAAGGTGGAAAATGGGTTCTGCATGCTGTTCATTGTTCTGTCCTTCTGCTGAGTGCATGGGGTGACCTGACATTACACATACCTGCTATGTGAACACTGCCTCATTATCAATTGCATATCAGGAATCAAGCATGCTGAGTGAATGTAAGATAAACTCCTTGCCACAACAAACTGACCCTCAGGTATTCCCTGTGGACTGTGAGGATGCAGACTTTAAAACCCATCACTGGAACTACTGTTGCATGTCTTCTTAGAGAATATACTTTAGAATTCAAATAATGAATAAGGTGGGTGACATTAGGACAATGTGCTAAAAATTGTTCTCTAATAGCTTGTCTCTTTTTCTGCAGGTTGCATACAACTGTTGTAATTCAGAGACTGGGTTCACATCTCACTCTGATGTATAGCTTGTCTCTTTTTCTGCAGGTTGCATACAACTGTTGTAATTCAGAGACTGGGTTCACATCTCACTCTGAACCAAAATATGGTTTGCTTATTTTTGGCTCAGTGTGTGAATCCAACCACTGTGGTTTGTAAAATACAGTTTATGCTTCAGTAAATTGTGCAAATTCAGGCAGTTTTCATTTATTCCATAAACCATTATTAAGCAAAACATAAGTTATCAGAATGAGCAAATCCAGCCTTTAAATAATATGATCAGTGTGCCTTGTATTGTAAGCAGAGAATGCTTTCCCCTATCCTACAGAGTATATACAGATAAGGTAAAATATTGTAAGGGTGTGTCTCTAGTGTGGATTACATAAAATGTGCATGTACACATCATTTGGAAATGTTTGATTTTTGAGTAGCGTCTAGCACTGTAGATAAAAAGAGTCATTTAAGGAAACTGACAAAGATGAAATTACATAGGGAAGGCTTGCCAGAAGGAGCTGGGGAAATATTGCTGAAGTATTTTGAGAGGTAGAAGGAGAAACTGAAGTTAAAAAGAACACAGGATAAATTAAAACATTAGATATCTGGATTCTTCCTTAGAAACAAATAGAGAAGGGTCAGAGACTAATGTTCCTATTTCTGGGTCTGCTCCTGCGTTAGAATGAATGAAATGGCTACCTGAAGCAGCAGATTTGGAGTGTCGTGAAAAAACATCAGTTACTTAATTTTTCCAGATAAAGTTTAAGAGGAGCTGCTTGTGGGATTTCTGCCATGTGGTTTTAAGGAAGCCTCTTCTGTTTATTTTCAGATTACAATTTTCCACTTGCTTCCCAGAAAGCCTTGCCCAAAGAAAACAGAACACAAGTGAAAAACCCCCAAGAAGGGCCCACTTCTGATCCAATAACTGATTCTGTGGATCCAGACTCTGAAGCCCCTTCCACCAGTGTCCTTGAGGAGGAGGAGGAAGGATTGCTTCCGATAAACCAGTCAAAAGGAACGACTCAAAGCAGGCAAATGCCAAAAGTCACTTTTTCTGAAACACCTGAAGAGGATTCTTTATACTCTATCCTTTTCTCCACTGCAACCAGCAGAATGGGTCCAGGGACTGAAGTGGCTACAAAAAAGCATGGGAAAGAATCTGCACTTGAGTATTCTTCTTCAGGCTTTGACCTAGGGAGCAGCATGGGACCCAGTCTCTTGCCTCTGTCTCCCATCTTCTCAGCCGAGGCCTCTACAGGCCCCCAGCTTGTCTCAGAACTTTCTCCCAAGATTACTCCAGAGAGCTCAGTAGCTACAATAGAAATAGAAGGGGAATTAGTCTTAGCAACAGTAGCTGCAGTAGAAGGTGATATGCAAGAAGGAAAGGCCACAACACATGGGGAGATTCCAAAACCCATAGCAGGAACAGTTGTGGCTGAAGTGGAACTGACAAGGGAAGATCCAATAGGTTCTTATGAGGATAGCCCCCAAGTAACTGAGACTGTTTCCAGGACTCCTAGCAGCCCATCAAATCCCAGCTCTTTGGGACATTTTTGGGACTGGACCAGTGAACGAGCCCCAACTCCAACTCCTATTCAGAATAGCCAGGATACAAAACTGCCTGTCATCACAACTTCTGCAGCAGAACAGAGCTTTACACCACAAAACAGAGATGTTCACATGGATGTGCTTGCCTCAGGAGTTCCCTGGAGTTTGACACAGGTAAGAAAATTGTGGGTAGGTCAGTGGACGATGAGTATTTAAACTTAGAATCCCCTGTGTTTTTAAAGGCTGGGAGCAAGCAAATAAATTATTTAACATTATATTACTTACATTCTTCATCAAGTGTGATTTGCCTTTTAATTTCTTTATAGGTGGTTGTTTTCTTAACTGACACAAGCATGAACCAGAACCATAGTACTAAAATGCCATAGCTTTGTAGGTTCAAAATCCTATTTTAAAAAGCTGTAATGTTTTTCCTATAAAGGAGCTTAAAACTGATTAATAGATAATTAATTTCCAGGTTATCTTTAAGGCCCAAACCCTCTCAAGGTGGTATATATACATAATAAGTATAAAACAAACATGAAAGTCAGTATACTACAAAAGTTATAACAGCCCTTCATAACAATAAAGTAAACAATTTTTAAATGAGGTCCCAGGCAATGTAACAGAAAACTTGACTGAGTAATTAATTAATTGGTTAATAAAAAGCTATCAGGTTCTAGTTGGAATAGACTGAGATATATTTTTTGAAACCAGTGTAAAACTGTCGTATTTAGAATAGCCTAGTAATGATAGCTGAGCATTTCTGCTGAAAGTCATGAATCAGTAATTCTAGAATACCTAGAAGTTTGAATAAGAACTTCTTGAATAAGTGGAAGTGCCTTGGCAGGTACATCGACTGCTTTGATGCAGTTGAACGTCCTTTGTTTTGTTTCTTTAAGTAGGAACAAAAATTGCCATATTCTGAGATATGTTAATGGATATATTGTTTTAATTTATTAATTTTTAAATCAACTGAACTGATTCTCGAGACGTTTCAAGTGTTTCTCTTTTTTCTCAGACATTCTTTTTTTTTAAGTGTCATTGTGATACTATGAAGACCATCTCTGAATTAAGTGTTCATTCTTCTGATGTCCCATTGGTTAGATTTGTATTTTTAAGGTTTCAAATAATATGACTTTAGAGAGAGAATGAGGTACATGCACACCCACAGACCAACTGAGCTAGGCAACACATCGGATTCAGTTCCAGAAAAGTGCTTCGGAACATGCAGGAATGCAGACAGTAATTCTTTACCTTGAGGAGTTGGCAGACATGTTTTTCCCCTAGGATTGCATGGATAGTTACATGATCTTGGAGAAAGGTGCTAGTGCTTTCAGGAGCTATGGACAGATGCCGTGTTCATGCTCTTGCAGCATTGCACAGCCTTATTAACCAGCACTATTACCCTTGAGATACAATTATATGATAGACAAATTTATATTATATAGACAAACAAACAAACAAATAAATAGCATTATTCTTTGCAAGGTTGCCCAGTATTGCACAGCCTTATTAACCTTTGGGATACAATTACATGATAGGCAAATTTGTATTATATAGACATATAATGAATAAATAAATAAATAGCACTATTCTTTGCAGGGTTCCTCAGAGTGGTCATTATCAAGCCCCAAGGGTCAATGGGACTATCCAAGGGGTCAATGTTGTTGATATTATTATTCGTCGTCCTATGAGTTAAAGTAGTATTTATTAAATTATTTTCATATAATAAATGTTTGTGGGTCGATGAACAACCTGAAACTTCATGAAGGGGTCATGGGCTGAAAGGTTTGGTGACCCCTGCTTTACAGATATGCTCCAACATTATTTATCACTGGCCCCTGACTGTTACTAAATGCTATCATTTTAGGAATCTCAGTCCAATTTTAGAAATAGTACTTTGAGAGTGAGGTGTAATTTGATTTTTTGAAAAATAATGAACAAGTGTTAAATTTAAAGCTCCCTTTGACCTTGAGGCCAGGCCAAATGCTCTCCTTGCACCCCCTTCTTGATTGGCACTGTGTTCACCACTGTCTCCTGTTGTTATCCTATCCACTGTTGTCTTGTATGGATGGTAAAGTTGGATTGCATTATATTGAAACTAAGTTTGCAGATATAAACTGTGCAAGGATGGATTCTTTTCAGTCTCCACCAGTGGAACTATTAAGCTGAGTTTTTTTTTCTTTTACAAAAATATACCTTTTGAAATGACAGCATGAAGTATGCCATGAATGTGCAGCATTAATGTTTAAAAGTTGCCTGATAAGAATTCACCTGATTTGAAATTAATACATATTTGTGCTTTTGTTTATAAATCAGTATTTTGTACCCTGAGAGAATATCCCAGGAATGACTGCAAGGTCCCAAAAGTAAGATGAGAAATTTAAAATGAATATATGCACAGTGAATATGAAATTTTGCATGCAATATTAAATCCTTTCATTTTAAATATACATGCAAACAGCTTTACAGAAAATGATAACAATGCAAGACGTTTGCTGTAAAAATAATGTTATATCTATCAGAAACTTCATATGAATATTCATAAAGTAAACAATTAAAGTGGTAAACCTGTACTTGTTATTAGACATCTGAGTCTTTGGTTAAAAAAAAAAGTATAAACATCTTGAGTGCCAGTTTTTGGGTTTTTTTTTTAAACCAAAGACTCAGTGGCCCTCAGTGTGACGTTATCAAAAAGGTAATCTTTGTAGCCTAAATTTGCTTTGGGGAAAAGAGAATGCTGTTGCTGTTAAAACATTTGTAGAAGTTATTTTTGTCATAATGGCAAACAGCAAATTATAGTACTTCTATAAGCTATTGATCCATTTGTTTTCCAAAAAAATGGCCAAGAGTTACCCACTTGAGCTAAAAACTGAAATCCAACTTTCCATTTCAAGTCCTGGCAGAACTTGATGACTTTGAATCTCTTTAAAACAGGGTTCTCCAAAGTGGTCAGTATTGACCACCAAGGGTCGATGGAACTATCCAAGGGTTGATGTTCTTGTTGTTATTATTATTTGTAGTACTATTAAAGTATTTATTAAATTATTTTCATATAATAAACGTTGGGGGGGTTGATGAACAATCTGAAACTTCATGAAAGGATCAATGAGCTAAAGAGTTTGGGAATGCCTGCTTTGAAAGACATTTTGTACACATGTTGTCTAATAGATTGTATCCATTGTGTTCTATTTGACACCCATCTGCATTGGTGAAATACTCTTCAAAACTGCATCATTTACAGAATGCCATTTGTAGAGGAGACATTGGTAGAGATTTAGGGTTACTCAAGGCTTAATCTTGGGCACTTGCTTCTCATTCTTCAAATATTTCTGTATGCACTATATTATTTATATGGTGCTGAAATAGAAGTGTCTCACACTCAAGAAAGCATTATGCTAGCTATGAAGTGGTGGCATTATACAGACCACTCTCTTGCAGATTTGAAAGCTTTGTTTCAGATGCATAATGCAGTTCATTTTCCATTTGTACATTGATTGACTATTACTAGCATAAACATGAGCATTTGACAGTATAGTGTGCTCAAACAGAACTCTGAATACATACGTACATTGTGTATGCCAGCTTGTATAAGTCATTCTCTTGGAAGTTTTGGATGGCCCAAACTTCAGATATAATGTGGCCCATGGAGGTAATTACAATGGCCCAAAATTTAGTTTGAATTTTACACACCTGTGTTATTGATCTATGTCTTAGTTTCTTGAGCACTTTGGAGCCACAGCGGCATCTGTTCACAGATTCATCTATCTTCTTCTCTGAGTATCAGCATCAGACCTGAGAAATATGCTGCTAGATTATATAATAAGGGCTAAAATGATTGGTTTTCTGATTTGGGGTAAAAACTTCATATTCATTTTTTTTTAAAAAAAGGCTTATACCGCTTCCCAAAATAATTGCATGTTAACTCAGAGAGGTTTTCGTTGGTTTTGTTTTGTAGATTATCTGTAAGGACTGGAGCAACCTGGCAGGCAAAAACTACATCATCCTGAACATGTCAGACAACATCGATTGTGTGAGTCACTTGCTTCTATATCTTAAACTCTATCTCTATCATCTACAACTTTTGCCACCCTTTCAATAATGCTAAATAAAAGTGGTTTATTACCTCTAGCAAGTGGTAAAATACTATTTTGTCATACAGAGTAATATTTTCAATGTGTCTCATCCTATATTTGCCATTTATTTATTCATTTCATATATTTAGATATAATGCTTCCCATTACTATAGCTCTTGAAGCATTGTAACAAAATATGGCTTTAATATTTCCTAAACAATCAAAAAATGTGCAGATAAAGAAGTTTGGATAAAGGTTTTATACAATATTTCTGGACAGATTAGTGCTATAATACTCTTGACAAAACTAAGATGCTGCTACAGATAGTCCTCAACTTATCACCACAATAGGGACCAGAAAATGAGTCGCTAAATGGTGTGGTCATCATCATATGACCACACCCAATTTTACAACACTTTTTGCGGCAGTCGTTAAGCAAATCACATGGTTCCCCATTGATTTTGCTTGTCAGAAGCCAGCTGGGAAGTTGCAAATGGCGATCATGTGACCTCAGGACATTGCAAACATTGTAAATACATGCTAGTTGCCAAGCACCCGAATTTGGATCACGTGACTGTGGGGATGCTGCAGTGGTCGGAAGTGCAAGGATCGGTCATAAGTCACTTTTTTCAGTAACATCATAACTTCAAATGGTTGTAAATGAATGGTCATAAGTTGAGGAATACCTGTAAATATTAAATATTTCTTTTCTTGTATATACAGTATCATTTTTCCAATATATACTTTACTTTGAATAGGGCCACAATATTTACTTTTGGAGGATACATTTTATGTTAGTGTTAGGAAGCATATGATCACACATGAAAGTGTGTGAGAGAAGCTGTGTATGTGTGTGTGTGTCTTTGTGTTTGTGTGCTGTGTATGACTTGATTGGCAAAAGAGAGGAAGATTAGAGATCTGATACCATTCTCTTGCTTTCCTGACACTGGATTTTTCCAAGGATACAAAGCAAAAAGGTATCAATGACAGCAGCAGGACTCAGAATAGGATGGGAGGATCTCTGGATCTGACTCAGGAGAGAGATTTAGACTATCTGCTGGGGTAGATTAAACATATTCCCTCCCATTAAATTATACACTATTTTATAAGTTGCTTTCTGCTATACATCAGAAGGAGACACCCAGAAAAGGAATTCAGATAGCCGCATAGATTAGAACATGATGGGAGGTTTGCTGGTAGACTGGTAACTACCTGCAGTTTTAGTAATTGGCACTGTAGGTTTCAGTGTTATATCTTTCCTGCAGTTTGGAAATAAGCAGTTTAAATGAGTGCACTCCTGCATTGGCAGAAGCCGTTTTCCT